AGCCTGTGTTCTGTGGCATACTGCATGGTTCAGTGCTGGGTCTCTTGCTGTTTGTTGTGTACTGGTCTAGACATGAATGTAAGAGGTTTGATTTGTAAGTTTGCAGATGACAAGAAAATCAATGGTGCGGTAAATTGTGAGGAGGAAAACCTTAGGCCACCAGATGATAGACGGGCTGGTAAGATAGGCAAAACAATGGCAAATGGAATTTAATCCTATAAAGTGTGAGGTGATGCATTTTGGAAGGACTATCAAGTCAAAGGAGTACACAATGATTAATAGGACCATAGGAAGTTCAGAGGATCAGAGAGACCTTGGATGCATGTCCACAGATTCTTGAGGGCACTAGAAAAGGTGGATACAGTGATTAAGAAGACATGTAGAGGAGGCTGCTGATTAGGGTGTAAGTAATTATGGGAGCATAGACAGGAAGAGACTTTTCCAATTATTAGAGGGATCATTAAGCGGGGGCAGAGATTTAAGGTTTAGAGGAATGTGGGACTGTACAGAACAGGAATAGGCCCTTCAGCCCACGATGGAATATAAAAGGAGATTTTAGTAAGATTTTTTTTCACTCAGCAGTTGTTGAGTATCTGGAGCTCCCTACCTGGAAGAGTGGTAGAGGTGGCAACCCTCGAGACATTAATTATTTAGTTGATCACTTGTAGTATCGTAGCATACTAGGTTATAGGCCAAATGATGGAAAATGGCACTAGCGCAGATGGGTGCTTGATGACTGATGCTGATACAATGGGACATCTTTCCATGCTGTAAAACTCAGATTCTAATTTTCAGATTATATCATACCGTTGCATACGTTGAGGGGAAATGTTAAACAACCTTTCATTTATGATCCTCTAAAGAGTACTTTCGAATAGCTCTCACTGTCCTCATGATCTACATTTAAATCCAGCCTAGATTAATGGTGCCAGTGAACAAAGAAATTGCCATAATTAGGTTTGAAGTGGAAGTTTTACTCCGCTTACAAGGATGACTTGTTTAGGAAATTGAGACGTTTTGCTCACCCAATGCAGCTGAGAGGTTGGGGTTGAAGCATACTTGAGGTTCAGTGGAACTTGCATCTATTTGTACAAAACCTGACTTGGGAATGCTTGATGTCATCCTTCGGTTCAAAAAGCTAAAATTTTCCACTTTTTGAACAGCAGAATATAAATGATTCAGTAATCAGCGCGTATATCAAGCTTTGTTGGGGAAGTTATATTGTCTTCAGCAAGTAACTACCTTAATTTCCAATGTATGTTTTGCTACCTAGCAAGTTAACTCATTGAGAACATGGAGGCAATGTATTGAGCAGATTCTGAATTCCCCAGAAGAGAGGGAGACCTGTCTCTTGTATGCCAGTCAGTATTTCATTTGAGTCCAGATAATAGCTTGTTTGGTTCAATCATGAAAACGGACTAGAAGAGAAAACAGCTTATAAACAAAGAAAAGATTGTTTAGTTCTCATTAATTTGAGCACTATGAATATTTTATCCCTACTTTTAAAAAAATTTCTGCTGTAAATAATCTGGAAATCATTTAGTAACTCTCTACTAATTGATGTCTGCTGTATTATTGAATTACTTTGTAAAATGGAGCTTTGCATTTAGCTTTTAAAATAAAGAATTCAGTGAATGGAAGCTAGCATAGTCCTCTAGGCACTGACAGTGCATGGTATAAAAGCTATTTTTTTGTACGTGAACCAGTCACCAATTGTTTGGCAGGCAGAGGCCATTCAACAGAGGCTGATAGATACAGCCAGACCTCAAGAGTGCTTACCGAGAGTTCCCAGCTGGAGTAATAAAATTAACTTTACTCTGGCTGATTTCTCTCCTCCCCTGGAAGGTTTGCTGACAGCACTTATTGTCAACTAACTATTTTTGTAGCTACACAAGTCTTTTTGAAGCGGAATTCCACTTGATCAATGTATCAATTCAAAATTTGAGGTCCAAAGGTCCGTAGGAATAGGGTGACAATTCACATGCAGTGACGTTTGAAAATTAAAAAGTTGAATGCTATGGCCTAAACAAATATGTTCTCATTCGATTGTTTCCTAGGCTGCACAATGTGTGCAGAAGCAATCTATTGAGTTATTTCAATGCATGTACTTTAAGGATAAAGATCCTTCTGATGAGCGTTGCATAGCAGATGGCATCATATACTCAATTCGGGCAAATGGCGTGCTGGTATTTGTACCAAGGTAATTTCTGAAATGTTCAATAGCATTTAAAAACTAATCTTGATAAATTGTAGCAATTGCAATTTCTAAATTATTCATGAATCAAAAGTAGCTGGAATGAATACATAAATCCAGAGTTTGCTCATTTTTTTTTAATGCTGTGCCTGACTTGTCACTAGCCTAGCTCTGATTTAGTGTCACATATGAATGGTCAGGGCTACAATATAAAAAAAAACTTGTGTCTGTGTTGCATCTTTCATGTTCTCACTATCCCAAAGTACTTCACAGCCAGTGAATTATTTTTGAGATTTAGTTGTTTTGTTCTGTGGGTAAATGCAACATCCAGTTTGCACAGCAAAGCAGAACAAAGACAACCATATTCTAGTCTGCTAAGTGATCAATAACAGTTGGCCTGGATAACAGAGTTCCCCTGCTCTTCGAAAAGTACGATTACTTTTCTAGTGAATATAGAAGAACCAAACGGAGTCTTGTATCTGACAGTATGACAATCCTTGAACCATAAGAAATAGGGCCAAGAGTAGGCAATTTGGCCAGTTGAGCTTATTCTGTTGTTTGATAAGATCATGGCGAATCTGTTTGTGGCTTTAACTCCACTTTTCTGTCTGTCCCCTATGGATGCCTGCTCAGATCAAACATCTGACCCAACCTTGAATATATTAAATGACTCAATCTCCTGTATACTGAACCATTCTGAAGTTTCTTTTGTTTAAATAATGCAGTGAAACAGAAGTCTAATTTATTCTATTCTACATCATTCAAACCCCACAGTTAACTTGAAACTACAATTTTCTGCCTCAGGGGCAAGCTGGAAAAGTAGTGAGGGGTAATGTTTCATTTGAGCAACGTGTAAGTTCCTGCTCAGGCCATGCACATGTTAGGCCCTGAAAATTAAGATGCATATGAGAGAGTGCAAAAGTGCCCATGTACTTAAAATTGCCCAGGTACTACAAAAAAAAGTTGTGTTTGTCAGGGTGGCCATATAATAGTTGAAGTAGTGGATCAGTTGGTAGCAGTCTCACTGCCCACTCCCACCAATGAGGTTACTACTACACAGTGAGAAGTACTGTCCAGGTAGTCACAACTATAAAGAACTTTGTGAAAGGCACTGAATAAATGTAAATCTCTCTCTTCCCCCATAACTTTACCATTAAACTGACTGCATTAGTTTTTGGCACAAAGGGCAACTGATGACCTTCGTTCAGGCAATGATTTGACTTCAGTAATTTAGTTAATGGACAAATATACTTCATCAAGACTGAGTCATAGAATGACACAACACATCTTCTTCAGCAGAGTTTATTTCTTGTCCATTGAAAGCTAGCAGCTTTGCTGTACTGTATACCTTACTGCATTTTTAAATAATCACCTTCTGTTGTAGTTGGTTTTGCACTTAATTTATTGGTAAAAGTAAATTGAGATGTACTTTGTAAACCAGGTACAGCATAAAAGCTCCAGCATTCCTGAAGAATAAAGAGGGTCTTGTGATCTCAGCACATCCTGATGGGTCCTGTGTCTGGAAACCTGGCTTCCTCAAACGCCTTAGGGACAAAATTATTTCCACTACAGTGGATGGAGGATCAGTTACTTTCTCTCTGTTTGATCACATCACTGTAAGTATACACTTGTATAATTTCTGTCCAGGTGTAAGTATTGAACAGCATTTGAACTAAAAAAGGAAACATCAAATGGAAAAAAAAAATAGAAATGTACAACATTAACAGAAAAAAGGGCCAAAGTCTATTGAGTTTCTCTGCTTGCTCAAGAACTTCAGAAAATGTGATAACTTCTACAAAGAGAATGTGTTTAGAGTGACAGAACCAGTAAGCAAATAGCAAGTGGAATGTTATACCAGTGCTACATGACCATTGCATTAGAAAGTTTATAACAGAAATTCAGTATTTTGTAATTCACTGTCTTTCCCGTTGATTTGTACTTTCACCTGTGTTGTAACAATAGATCATTTGCTCATGTTTACTATCTTCCCTTGCATTCATGGACTGAGTATATAGTTGCTATTTGGTTTTTAAATCAAATGTTCAAATACTTCCCTTATCCTGGAATGTTGCCCAGTATTCATCAACTCCAGACTGATTTGAGTATTTTAAATTTATACTTAAACCAGTTTACAGAGGGTTTGATTAACGTGCTGGTTTTCTAAGTTGATTCCTAATAATTGAGTTTCTGGAGCTAAAATTCTGTCTCCCTTCCTCTTGATCAAAAAGGTAAGAATATCTGAACTCTCATCCCGGTCACATCCTGACAGCATCAAACTGGACATCATCAACAACCAACCTTATAGTAGAACCAACACGGAACCTATGCATGAACCCTCACACAGTTCAAAGACTGACTTGATACGGGATGTAATCAGATCTGTTGAAGAGGCACAACTTGCTCAAGAGCATGCAAAAAGTACATCAGTCAGAGATGAAGATAAGGAATATTGTCAAACCAAGGGCAACAGCCTCTATCTGTTATTAGAAGAAATTAAGGAACTGGCACTTCTGGATGTTACAGTCGGATGATTGCAATAGTTTGGTCAAAAACTTGGGTCTGTTTTAATTTCTTAACCAAAACCACTATTGGAGCAATTTTTGTGATACAATAATCCTGAAAATGGCTGTGGTTTTTCAAGCAAATTTGACAGCAGTTTTACTTCTCTGCCGACAACTGCACTCCAGAAAAATGGCAGGGGCCCACAATTTCATGTAAACCAGCTGTTATCTGTGAAGCTACATAAGCTTATGTAAAAGATTTCAATGCAAATACAAGATGTACAAATATATTTTTCAACAGGATGTAAATATTGTAATTTTTATTCAAGTATGATTGGTACAAATTAAGTAGTATTAAAGTTGAATTTGTCTTTATATCCCTTTCAGGTGTGTTTAAAAATAAAAACTTTTATTGGCAACAGTCTCATCATTAGTGCTTAAGTCCAGTTTGTAACAATTTCTTTCTTCCAAATACATCCAAGACTGATCTCTCTAAGCTCAGTACAAAGACAGAAAACTAAATTGCTCTAACTAGGCCTTAACAAACATTCCAATTCTTTTGAAAGCTTACAATGGAGAACAAAAAGGATATTTTACTCCCAAACTTGGACTCTGTATTTTGAATTACCCAACATCTGCAAAGGTTGAATAGTTTTTAAAGTGATCCTCTAGCTTTAGTAGGATTCTTTCTCCTATATCAGTATCAACTGCAATCAAATAGATTTTTGTATTGGAGTTAGAATAGCATCAAAAGTAAGGGACATCTATATCCGATCCACACTAGTTATGCAGATAGACATAAAAATATTTCGCACAAACTTGTGGTATGAAGTAGGTTGTGTTCCCAAACACCAATTGCACCACTGAAAATGTGGAATGATTATTTTCTACTATACAACCAAATCTTGCCAAATTCTTTACTTTTGCCTTAATGTTTGTTAGACCATCATTCCACTGTCACATCAAAACAAAACCTCAAATAGTAATCACTGGCCAATCTTGATATCACACAATATATTTAATCAACTTATGTTGCAGTTTCTAATCCCTGTACCAGTTCAGAGACATCTCATTTAAGTTAACTGTTCCATGGGCAGATTCTGTGAATCAGTTGTTGCTTCTGGAATGGGTTTGGAAAAATTGTCTTCAATTGTGGTTTCAGATTCATGTATTGATACAGCACAGTCAATTGTTTTGGTTACCTCAGATAAGTGTTCTGAAGTTTCCAAACAGACACCTCCTTCTGTTGGAGACTCCGGCTGCTGAACTGACTTAAAGGATTCCATTTTGGTTGTCTTTTTCAAAGCTTCCATATCTTCTGCATCTAGATCTTCAAAGCTGTCAGTAGGATCTCTCAATATCTTGGCTTGATTTAGTTCAGCAGACTGACTCAAGAACGGAGAATCACTCAGATCTGAAAGAATAAGTAGACCAAACACATTCATACACGCATAGTCCAAATTTTCTGTGTAAAACAAAAGCACAGGCAGATAGCACAAATGGGTAGTGTTTGTGATTCACTCAAAGACTGAGGAAGTTGTCTCATTTGCTTTGCAGAATGCTACGCAAAATGTAAGGTATTGGAAAAAGTACAAATTTTAGTATTTGAACTCTGCAGAAACATTTAAATTTAGAAAGAGTTGACAAATGAATTTTTTGGAGAGCTGAACAAGTTTTCTGAAAAATAGAGATAAGGCAGAGTGGAATTTCACTTCAGTCCCCGATTATATTATATACTGTGCAAAATAACAGTGCAAGAGTTTATTGATGAGAGTTAGCAAAATGCAGAATTAAATCTAAAGTTCAGGTAGTGTTGATTGGCAAACAAAAGGCATGAAACAAAAACAGAAATTGCTGGAGAAACTCATCAGGTCTGGCAGCATCTGTGGAAAGAAATCAGAGTAATCTTTTGGGTCCAGTGACCACTCTTCAAAACAAATCAAATTTTTCTCTTGGTTAAAGAAATGAGAAAGAATAGTAACAGCAGTTCCCTAGTTTCTCAGGGTAGTGTCCTAGGCCCAACCATCTTCAGCTGCTTCGTCAATGACCTTGCCTTCACCATTATGTCAGAAGTGGGGATGACCACTAATAACTGCACAATGTTCAGCACCAGTCCTGACTCCTCAAATACTGAAGCAGTTCAAATGCAACAAGATCTGAACAATATGCAGCCTTGGGCTGAACAAATGCCAGGCAATGACCATCACCCACAAGCAAAAATCTAACCACCGCCTCTTGACATTCAATGGTGTTACCATCACCGAATTCCCTGCTATCAACATCACAAGGTTCACCATTAACCAGAATCTCCCAAATGGACTCTACATAAACAGCTACAAGAGCTAGTCAGATGCTAAGAATACGGAGGTGAGTAATTCACCACCTGACTCCCCAAAGCCTGTCCATCATCTACAAGGCACAAGTCAGGAAGGTGATGGAATACTCTCCACTTGCCTGGATGGGTGCAGCTCCAAAAACATTCAAGAACCTTGACACCATCCAGGACAAGGCAGCCTGCTTGATTAGCACTCCTTCCACAAGCATCCACTCCCTCCACCACTGACGCTCAGTAACAGAGTATACTATCTGCAGAATATACTGCAGAAATTCACCAAAGATCCTCAGACAACACCTTCCAAACCCTTGACCTTTTCCCTCTAGAAGGACAAGTGTAGCAGATACATGGGAACACCATCACCTTGTATCTCCCAAGCCCACACCATCTTGACTTAGAAATATGTCCCTATTCCTTCTTTGTCACTGGGTCAAAATCTAGAATTGAACCCCTAATAGCATTGTGGGTCAACACACAGCAGGTGGACTGCAGCAGTTCAAGAAGAACTACCTTCTCAAGGGCAACTAGGGTCAGGCAACAAATACCGGCCAGCCAGCCACACCCACATCCCATAAAATGATTTTTTTTTTAATTTAAAATAGTTAAAAATCAGGTCAAAAGTGTATGTTTTTCTTTTCAAAACAAAAATGTTGTTATCCCAAGAAACTAAATTACTTTATAAGCTATATCAGCACCTTTTGTTCCATCCACATCTTATCACTTGTTCCATTTACTTAGTGAGTGAGAAAGCATTCGTGTAGGCTGTTGAATTCCAATTTCTCCACAGTGCACAAGATAACTGTATCTTTTTAAGACATTTTTCAGAGAAAGGAAATCTCCCTCTTCTCCTTTTCAAATTGATTAGAGTCAGACTATGGACTGATCTAACCTATTTTAAGCATTGAAATTAAAGTAAGTTGACTGTATTGAATTCCATTAGAAAACACACTAACCATTAGAAGACATCTGGTTTGTTGGCTCAAGTTTTGCTTGTCGTCTCTGAAGCGCAAGTTGCTTGTTCCTTTCGATCCTAAGATGCTGTTCCTCAGAGAGTGTGCTTGAGCTTGGAGTAGGTTCTGCAGCTGATTTGCTAGGCAATGGACTGAATGAAGTTTCTAAGTTCTCGATTTGGAGTTCATTCTCAACAACTGTAATTAAATATTATTTCAAAAGGAGGATTTTGTATTTGTCCAATTTATCATAGCTCAAAAAAATACTATTCTTCTGATGCCTGTGAACATATCTATAAAATAACTGAATTTAGCAACCAAGACAAATATAGTTCCTGTCTCCGATGAGTTAATTTAAAACAGGATTCCTGTTCCTGGTTACTATCTCTTTTTCCCTCCCCATGCTACAAAGAGTAGATGTGTATTAATGCATGAGGGCAGCATTGATGCCGTCAGACTGAATAACCCACAGATATTTCATTCTCAACATTTACACAATAAAGGCCTTTTGGGGATATTTGGTGCCTGCAGAACTGGGTTCAGCATTGTAGTAATGGAAATCCACAAAGCTCTTCTGGGTAAAAGCAGTGTTTAAAGATGGAAAACATATCCTCGGTTTGATCTTTATGAAGTTACAGGTTGTCAGACATTAATTTGTAAGTCATAACCAGTCTATGCTCCTTGGGCTAAATAGGAGAGATACAAATGGGTTCCTATTCTTTATCACAAAGCAGTATTCTTATTCTTATATGATCTTATCCAAGATGAAGTGCAAGTGACTTCTTGGGACAGACAGCAAGAGATTTTTTTTTTGTAAATAATAGGGCTCAGAGATTGCACTGTCCGGCTAGACTTCATGATGAATGAAGAGAACGTTACGATTTGAAAATCACTTAAACAAAGGGAAATAAAGGATCAGAGATGACTCAAATGTTGGAAAAACCACCACATAGTGGTTGGGCTAGAATGATTTCACTGATGCCTAAACACTTCCTCACCCCAATCCCCAAAAAACACATCGTACTGTTCAGTGGATTAAAAAAAATGCTATGGTTAAAGCCTCAGCATCAGATATAAACCTTTGAAGTTTTAGTATATTTACTGGAAACCATACTGTAAAATTCTTCATTAAACTTTGATTTAGATGGGAAAAATAATAAAAATTTTGAATGAAGATTCGAAAAGAGCACTTGCCTTCTTTGGAAATAAAGTCTTCATGTGTAATGGGGATATCGAGTCGAATTTTCTTCAAGCAAGTCTGGAATATAAAAATGACAAATATAAACTGCAGGAAAGGTCATTGACATGAAACTTTAATGCTGGCTTGCTCTCTCCACATGTAACATTCTGTTGCCAAGTGTTTCTAGTGAATTCCCTCGAGAAAAATGTAGATATTTAAGCGAAAATGAGCAAATACAAAAATGAATCTCTTAATGATGTTACATAGGAGACTGCATGAGACCTTAATTCTGATCAGTTTTCAAACTGAACTGGGAAACTTTAGAAACACCCTTTATAGCCACCTTGTGGCTGGAGATTCAAACTACTTTGTGACAATTTGCAAAAGTGAACAGGAAATAATAATGCAACAGTTTACCATGCAAATGTTGGCAAAAAGCAAGACCACACATCATAGATAAGAGGCATGTTCATGGTCAAATAAGAGGGCTACTACTGTGCGCCATATCACACAGCACATTGTTTTACTCTTCATCTAAACAGAGCATATTTAGGACAAAGAGGGAATAACCTTAAACATAAAAATTAACAACCTCTTGATAGAGGAAAACTAAATCGGATCAACTGCAACTCAATATAATAAGACTATCTCGCCATTCCAAAACCAGATACTCTTTATTAAACACATTTTTCTTTCTAATCAAAGCAGTAGTTTACAAAGTCTTAACTACAGATCAAATATTATTGCTCCCATAAATTTAGCATGCAGGAGTCCCATTTCCCTACATTCCAAACAGGCCAAACATTGACCAGACAGATCTATTGAAAGAGTGGAGATTGTTAGGTGTCTCACCAGCCAGTTAATTTGCTTCAAAATAAATACAAACTGCCACATTAGTAGAACTGTATTGCTGAGTTGCATTGTCAAGACATGCACGAGTTGTTGACAAAAGCACAAGCTACTCTTGTAATATTCCAAGTGCCCTGAAATGACCAATTGGCAGAGGCCTGGAAGTAGAAGCCAACTATTGTGTGTGCAGTTAATGAAGCAAAGAGATAACAATCACCTAATCTGGTGGTAACCAAGGAATAAACATTCACATGGACACAAAGAAGCCATCTTCAAATAGTGCCATGAGATGTTTTCCTTCCATGACAGGATTAGTGTTATAACTACATCCCTTCTTACTTCGTCTGACAAGAGTGCAAGCATAGGCTGTACATCTCAGCAAAAGGAACAATTCTACTGACATTCCTCACCAACTAATACTAACAAGTAGGCAGTACTGGGATCGATTTCCTCACAGCCATCACAAAATCTCAGAAACATATGTCACACAAGATAGCCCTTTGGCCTATCTTGTCTGCACCAGCTTTCCAAATGAGCATGATGACTTAGCACCTTTTGTAGCAACTCATTCAGTGTTTCTTGCTAAAAGTAAATGGTAAATGGCTGTGAATTGTTACGAAAATCCATTTTCTGAAACAAAATGCATCACAAAAAGGAGGAAGGACAGAAAATAAATAAGCAATATTAAATACCTGAACTTCTTTTTTACTACCCAAGACCTCCACTTTTTCAATAAATTCTGCAAATTGCAATTTAGGGTACAGCCTATGAGCCCAATGCTCCATTTGCCAAAGAAGGGTCTTCACATCTTCACTCTTAACACAGTGGGAAGAGAGAACAAAACACATTATGTAAACAATGTAGAGGATTAAAGGCCAAAGCCAAATACAATGCAATAGGCCAAGGGAAGAATTCTCTGCCTAGCTTCACTCACCAAAACCACCAATGGGGGATTTTAATTTAAGTGGTAGTAAATAGAACCTAAAATTGCAAACCCCTGACACAATCAACCTAATTTTAGAACGAACAAAACCCAAACTTTGTTGTTTTTGTGCAGTCCTGGACCCTCTACTCCCAGTGCACTGACAAATAAAATCTCTGTTCATATCTTAACAAAGGATAGGTTAATGCTCTAAGTTTAAATCTGGGTGGTTCTGAAATGTGAAACTAACTTTGTCTTTCAGAAACTGGTGTTATTTAGAGTCCCAGCTGTCTGTTTTAATTAGTAAAATCCATCCTGTTTCTTACATATATGGCCATTAAGCAAGTGAAGTGTAATCCTGGAACATCAGCACTATTGCACACACTGCCATCATGTAATGAATGCATTCACTGTTTCCAATGTATGCTATTGCATCATCATTGTGTTAATTCACTTTTTAAAAAAAAGTTATAGTGAAAAGTTATACCCAAACCAAAAAGCATAACTGCCTATAACAGCATTTGAGGCATCATACATCATGATAACGTACCAGAATACAAAGGGATCAGTGCTCCCAAGTTATTACCAAGTGAAAAGCAAGAAGAAAAGAATGCTGAACCTATATAGGATTCTGCATCAAACTTGGCATTTAAGTTTCTGGGCAGAAAGCTGAAGTAAAACTCATGACTCATGATAACTGTCTCTGCTCCAATTATCCACTATTCCCATCAATATTAAATATTCATGAAATAGCTTAAAGCTCAAAAGATTTACAAAACTGTATTTGATCTGCAAAAAGGATCAGCATGAATGAACACTTCTTGAAACGTGCTTAATCTGCACTCCTGATAGCAGCTGTGTCTCATAGCAATGTCAATTTAGTTTGTTTTATTTTCCAAAGTGCTATCCTCTGCACCAACTTGTCTGTAAGTTCACACAAGAACAACCATGACACTAGAAACATAGACAGGAGCAGGAGGTAGGCTCTCAAGCCTGTTCCATCATTCAATGTGATCATTGAACTCAATACCTTGACCACTCCTGCCTCATATCCCTTGATGCTTATCGCCACAAGAGCTATATCTACTTCCTTCTTGAAAACACAATGTTTTGGCCTCAACCACTTTCTGTGATAGCAAATTCCACAGGCTCACCACTCTGGTGAAGAAATTCCTCCTTATCTCAATCTCAAAAGGTTTACCCCCTTATCCTTAAACTACAAACCCTGGTTCCAGACTCTCCCACCATTGGGAACGTCCTTCCTGCATCTAACCTGTCAAGTCCTGTTAGAATTTTATAGGTTTCTAAGAGATCCCCACCTCATTCCTGTAAACTCCAATGAATACAACACAAACCAACTCAATCTTGCCTTATACATCAGTTCTGCCATCCCAGAAATCAATTTGATAAACCCTCACTGTATTACCTCTGTAGCAAGAACATCCTTTCTCAGATAAGTAGACCAAAAAACTGCACAATATATTCCAGATGTGGCGTCACCACTGCCCTGTATAAATATAGCAAGACATCCTTGTTCTTGTACTCTAATCCTTTTGCTACACAGGCCAACATACAGGTTGCTATCTTTACTGCCTCTTGCACCTGCATGCTTACTTTCAGTGACTGGTACAAAAGGACACCCAGGTCTTGTTCGACATTCCCCTCTTTCAATATACACCCATTCAAATAATAATCTGCCTTCCTACTTTTGCTACTAAAGTGGAAACTTCACATTTCTCCACATTATGCTGCATTTGCCACATATTAACCCACTCACTCAGCCTGTCTAAATCACACTAACATTTTTGCATCCTCCTCATAGCTTACCCTTCCATCCAGCTTTGTGACATCTGTAAATTTGAGACACTACGTTTGGTTCCCTCATCTAAATCAGTAAGATATGTAGCAATAGCTGGGGTCTGATCCCTGCCCTATCTCTCTAGGTAAAGTGCAAAGAATGACATAATCCCCGTCACAAGGAGTCAACGCTTCAAGAAAGGTTTGGAGCAACAGAAAGTACAAATATATTAACATTACATTTGCAATGACTGGCTTATAATAAGAACAATCACTATTGTATTAAGAATGAGAGCAAGAACTGCAGAAAAATGTAAAACTGGCAATTTGTTCAATGAACCAACAATGGTGATGACTGTAAGAAATAGCGCTTTGATACAGGAAGAGGGCTCTTCCATGGATTACATTTAGAAACATGTTTGTGCACAGAAAAATAACAAGTTTCATTTATATAGCGCCATTACATAGTAAAACATCTCAAGATGCTTCACAGGAGCATTATTAAACAAAATTTAATCCGATCCACATAAGGAGATATTAGTATAGGCAACATAAAGCTTGGTCAAAGCGTTTGGTTTTAAGAAGCATCTTAAACAAGGAGAGAGCACACTAATTTTTTTTTCTTTATTCATTCATGGGTCAGGGCATCACTAGCTGGGAAGCATTTATTGCCCATCCTTGATTGTCCAGAAGGCAGTTAAGAGTCAACCACATTACTGTGGGTCTGGAGTCATATGTAAGCCAGACCAGGTAAGGATGGCAGTTTCCTTCCCTAAGAACATTTGTGAACCAGGTACGTTTTTCTGACAATCGACAATGGATTCACGGTCATCATTAGATGCCTAATTCCAGATATTTACTGAACGCAAATTCCGCCATCTGCCGTGGTGGGATTCGAACCCACGTCCTCAGGACATTATCTGAGTCTCTGGATTAACAGCCCAGCAATAATACCACTAGGCCATCGCCTCCCCCAGTTGGTTTAAATTTCAATTTCAACAATTTTACAGCCTAGAGCCTCGGGCCTAGACAGCTCAAAGTACAGCCACTAACAGCGGATTGATTAAAATCAAGAATGTGCAAGAAGGTGGAATTGGAGCACAGAGAGTTTAGAGGTTTATGATGATCGAGGAAGTTGCAAAGATAAGAAAGATAAGAAATTTAAAATTCGGGCTCCTAATCAGGCAGAGGAATCTTCATTTTTCTGCCTTACCTCGTGTCCTTTGCCTTTAAACCGAACATTATTGAATAGATTCCGTAAAGCTGGCAATCCTCGATCCGAAGTCAATCTTTTATGCAGAGAAAAGGATTTGGTAAAACTCAGATCTCAAATAGTTATACAAGAACTCAATATCAGAAATGCTAAAAACAGTATATTATGAAATACCACAATGGGCCCCATTGAACCCAGAACATATTCCAAGACAAGATAATAAAGTGGATAAAGTTATTCTCTGAAAAAGAGAGAGTTGTTGGGATATTGAAAAATTCTGTTTGGGTTGCATGAGAATGTAGTGGAGGGAGGTGGTGTGTGGAATAGAGAGACATCAAAGAGTTGGGGGACAAAACATTTCAGTGTGGGGGTAGAGGAGGGGTTATGAGTGAAGTGGGAGATGGTAACTACTGTGAAAGTCAAATGGGTGGAGATTTGAAGAGCATTTCTTTAGGACAGGGCAGCATGGTGGCTCAGTGGTTAGCACTGCTACCTCACAGTGCCAGGGACCCAGGTTCAATTCCACCCTCGGGCGACTGTCTATGTGGAGTTTGCACATTCTCCCCGTGTCTGCATGGGTTTCGTCCGGGTGCTCCGGTTTCCACCCATAGTCCAAAGATGTGCAGGCTAAGTGGATTGGCCATGCTAAATTGCCCATAATGTTCAGCGATGTGTAGATTCGGTGGGTCTGAGTGGGATGCTCTGAGGGTCGGTGTGGACTTGTTGGGCCGAAGGGCCTGTTTCCACACTGTAGGGATCATGTGACATGATGGGCATATGTCATGGGGACACTGTGCCAAGCCCAGGAACGTCCAATCACATTCTCCCTTCCACAGTTGTCAGTGCTGCCTCTGGGGATCAGAGGAACATGGGAACCTAACCATAATGATGCCCAAAAAAAAGTGGGGGGTCGGTAAACATGGTATGAGCCACAATGAAGACACATGGAACCCACATTAGTGAATATCCCTTAGCAAGACAAAGTTAACTGGTTCACTAACGTCCTTGCCAGGTCTGGCCTACATGGGACTCCAGACCCACAGAAATATGGTTGACTTTTATCTGCCCTCTGAAATAACACAGCAAGCCACTCAGTTCAAGGACAGTTAGGGATAGACAACAAATGTTAGCTGTGACACATCCCATGAAAAAATAAAGAGGGGGGAAAAAATGACCTCTGAACAAATTCAGTATTTAACTTCACCACAAAATCACAACAGAATTGTATTCAGTAGCCTGCTGTCCCCGATCCACCTCCAGATACCTCAACAAGTCATTGGATAACCGTAATAAAATAAAGTGACTAAAAAAAGCATCCATCACCCAGCACATCACCAGGTGCATTTTGTATTGAACTATTTTGCAATATGGGAAATGCGGTATCGTATTTGCACACAGTAAGCAACAAGTAAAATAAACAGATAATCCTCTCAGAATACTACGAGAACTCGCCCATTTTCTTTCAAATAGAACCATTAGATCTTTTATGACTACTAGAGAGGGGAAATGGGACCTTAGTTTACCATATCTGAAAAATGCACCTCCAACAACTGCACCCTCTGACCTGCATTAGAATGTCATGTTAGATTGTAGATATTTTCTAATCAACCTGTTCAGAAATGTTATGCCACATATCTCTAGCAGGTGGGACTTGAAACTGGGCTTCTAGGCTCAGAGGTAAGGACATTACCACCACAACAGAACAGCCTCAAGCCTTGGAGTGGAGCTTGAACCCATCCAACAGAGAAAAGAAAGCACTTACTGTGGCACCTGTTAGATTGTAACCACCAGTTGTTGCTACATCAATGGTCTCAGTGTTGCTGGGCTAGAAGGAGGAGGCCAAATCCAAGGGTCCCACAGCCAATCACTAACAAGTAACTGCTGCTGAAATGATAATATAAAGGTAAGGGCTGTGCCAAATGGTCCTCAGTCCCTCAGGATCAGTAGCCCGGAAATAATAGATACAAGACACAGCAGTAGCTGCAAACAGCTTTGCCTGACTCCCAAATACCTGGAAAGAAGTTCTACTGGCAACTTTTTTCTCACATCTCAATTTTAGATTTTACACTCAATTGATACTTTACAAAAAATGTTATTTTCACCAACAGGGGCTTTGGGCAGGTCAAATGAGAAGCTATGATTGCAATTCCTCCAAGTCTCCTCACTGTGCCAAGCAACGCCTGGGAACGGATTATATCAACAATACTGGTCATAGGACAAACCAAAGTTGAAATTTTAGTTACCGCTGAGCGTCCAGTTTAAGCCGTGGTCCTTTCACACCTTTCCTGAGAACTACAGGCTCTTTGGATGGATTTCCTTCCTGCCTGTTTTCCTCATCTGAGAGGTCAAACCAAAAACAACCAACAGATTAATAACAATTAGGTGTAATCATGCAATGGCTTTGTTAATGGACGAGTAATCCTGGGAACATTATGGATTTTTCTGGGTAATATGTTGGAGTGGTTACAATGATGGAGTTGGAAATCTATCATCACACAGTTTGAATCTTGCCAATTATTTCTCCTCTACATCTGTAGAAATTAGCAAGTAGCAGTTAGGAAGTGTGTTGCATACTAATATTAGTACTAATATTTCAATCCCTTTGGCGCCTGAAATTGTTTAAATGAGGCAATCTCTGAAAAAATTACTCCTAATTCAAAGTGACCATAATATCCCACAAACAGCCTCAGAATATAATTTTTGTTTGTACAGTGATATAATATGAAGCAGCTACAAGGACATACTAACAAAACCCTAGACATTAACACAGGAAGCCATTCACCCATCAATGTCAGCTCTTTGCTACAGCAATCCAAAAATATCCTCGTTTAACTTTGTTCTCATATCAATTATCAAATAATTACAATGCCCTATACTTTTATGTCATCTTTTATTTCAAGCATTTACCAAATTTTTCCCTGAACGTTAATGAGTAAATGTTAACATTCAAGACGGAACTCTATTACTAAATTAGAAGCAATGTGGAAAGATACAGGGAAAAGGCAGGAGAATGGCACCAAGTCAGAATGGTCATTTAAGAGCCAGTACAGGCATCAATGGGCTGAATGGCCTCATGCACCATAACAATTCCCTGATTCTGTAACAATATCAGAAATACTATTACAACTTTTATCACACTTATATACACCAAATGATTTATTTTTCAATGTTTAATTCTATTCATTATTTATCCTTAAACTTTTAAATATTTTTATATTTGACAACATATTGCTGACCCAGGGATCAATTTTCTGAATTGTCTGACCAGCCTGACCTTATTGTAGAAAAGCCAGTCAGTTCCTCCTGAACTGCGATTGTCAGCCTGCGCAACATTATGGATAACTGATCTCATCCTGGAGAGGCAGGGATTAATCAAGAATAGTCAGGATGGTTTTGTTAAGGGGAGGTTATGTCTGACCAATTTGATTGGCTTTTTCAAAGAGGTGACCAGGTGTGTAAATGACAACTATGTTTTTGTCATAGTCCCATAGAATCCCTACAGTGTGGAAGCAGGCCATTTGGCTCATTTCGTCCACACCAACCCTCCGAAGAGCATTCCACCCAGACCTATCCTATCCTATCCTTGTAAACCTGCACTTCCCATGGCTAATCTACCCAGTGTATACATCCCTGGACACTACGGGCAATTTCCCATGGCCAATCCACCTAAACTTGCACATCCTTTGGACTGTGGGAGGAAAGTGCAGCATCTAGAGGTAACCCACACAGACACAGAGAGAATATGCAAACTCCACAAGACAGTCACCCAAAGCTGGAATTGAACCCAGGTTCCTGGTGCTGTAAGGCAGGAGCACTAACAACTGAGCCACCATGCTGTCTCTTTGAATTTACAGCAAATCTTTTGAAGAGGACCCACATGGGAAACTGAAAGTGAAGGTAATAGCCCACAGGACCCAAGGAAATTGGCAAATTGGATCTGCCATTGGTTAAGTGGCAGGAAGCAGAGGGAAATGGTTGAGGAGTATTTTTCCGGTTGGAAACCGGTGTCTAGTGGTATCCCACAAGGGTCAGTTTTGGGGCTCTTGTTTGTAGTTTATATAAATGATTTAGACTTGAATGTAGGAGGATCGATCAGTAAATTCACAGATGGTAAAAAAATTGTTGAGGTGGTATATAGTGAGGAGGATAGCCTTAGCTTACAGGAGGACGTAGACAGGACGGTCAGATGGGCTGATCAATCCGGATAAATGTGAGATGATGCTGGTCACACAAGGCAAGGGAATACATGAAGATCAGTAGGATCCTGAAAAACACTGAGGATCAGGGGACCTTGGAGTACATGTCCAATGGTCCATTAAGGTACAGGATATGTGGATAAAATGGCTAAGACAACATATGGGATGCTTGCTTTTATTAACTGAGACGAAGAATTTAAGAGCAGGGAGGTGATGCTGGAACTGTATAAAATGTTGGTAAAACCACAGCTACAGTATTGTGTGCTGTTCTGGAATCTATATAATAGTAGGGATGTGACAGCACTGGAGAGGGTGCAGAGGTGATTTACCACAACTGGTAAATGAAACTGGAGAGTTTCAGTTATGATGAGAGACTGGACAGACAGCAGTTGTTTTCCTTAGAGCAGAGGAGATCAAGAGGAGTCATGATAATGACATATAAAATTATGAGGGTATAGATAGGGTAGACAGGAGAATTTTGCCCTTGATGGAGGTATCAATAACTAAGATGCATAAATTTAAGGTAAGCGGCAGAAAGTTTCGCGGAGTTGTGAGGAAAAACCTGTTCACCCAGAGGGTGGTGGGAATCTGGAACTCACTGCCTGTAAGAGTGGTAGAAGCTAAAACCCTTAGACATTTAATTAGTATTTAGATGTGCATTTGTGACACCAAGCCTCAAAGGTTTAGCCAAGTGCTGGAAAATGGAATTAAAAGTTAGAAGCTTGTTTCTGTAGATCTCTATGATTTTCTAATAACGACTAAACTGGTTGCTGGAATGGACACTGAGCAACTCAGCAGGAGATCTGCTAGAGTCTGCATGCTTCATATTGCTAAAGGATGACAGTCATGGGATATGGTGGTAAATTATTTGTAACTGGTCTAAACCTGATAACGGTCAATCTATTTTTTTCAACCCTACTTTATATATCCACATATATCATTGCCTCCTTACTATCCCATTCTTGAGTATTTCTGAAAATCAACAGACACGGTTCTGAAGTTCTTGTTTAGCACTCAAAAGGACAAACACAACAATACAAAATTTCAAAGGGAACAAATATTTATACTACATATGAAAAGGCTGCTAAGTAGATGGTAAGTGACTTTTGATTGGTGTGGTGTGACCGTAGTGAATGCACCAGGAAACAGTTGCACCCATGTTTTTCTTTAATTGAAAAAGGCACAATGCATGAAAATATACTGTTTGTCGAGACAAGGTCCTGCATACAGATGTATGTAGCTTCTAGAAAACTAGATGGCAGCATGATGGCTCAGTGGTTAGCACTGATGCCTCACAGCACCAGGGACCCAGGTATGATTCCAGCCTTGGGTGACTTTGTGTGGAGTTTGCACATTCTCCCCATGTCTGTGTGGTCTCTTCTGGGTGCTGTAGTTTCTTTCCACGTCCAAAGATGTGCATGTTGGGTGGATTGGCCATGCTAAATTGCCCATAATGTCCAGGGATGTGGCTAGGTGGGTTAACCATGGTAAAAGCAGGGTTATGGGGATAGGATAGGGCTGTAGGTGAGATGCTCTTTGGTGGGTTGTCACAGACTTGATGGGAAAAATAGCCTCTATCTGCACTGTCCACGATTCTAAGTGAGCCACATTTTGAGCGTGATTATCTTGGTTGCTACTGTAATTCTTAGCACACTTGGGATTGTTTAATAAATGCTATCCTATTACAGAATCACAGCCAAATTTGGACACTTAGTGAACAGCCAAAGAAACATATTATTTGGTTACAATCCACCAGTTGTTGGGATATATGATCTATGTATATGGCACTACACTTGCTTTTCAGCAATACTCAAGTTCTGTATCAACAAGCAAATATTTCATTTTTCCAACCTAGCCTCTGATACCTTGCGAGAAAGGCTCTGGGTGTTGACCGCTAAATAAAAAGATGATCAAGTGCAAAATGTGAATTGAGGGGAGAAAAATATAAAAATTTTATATGGGAAGTTTGTCCTCTCCAAACTAAATATATCCCTTTTCCTTTTAATATTCATTCTCAGCATGCAAGCATCACTGGCAAAGCCAGCATTCATTGACCAGAAAGCAGTAGAGAGTCAACTACATTGCTGTTAGTCTAGAGTCATATGTAGGTCAGACAAGGTAAGGATGGCAGTTTTCTTCCCTGAAGGACATTAGTGAACCAGATGGGTTTTTCCTGACAATCAACAATGTTTTCATGGTCATCATTAGATTGTTAATTCCAGGTTTTTATTAAATTCAAATTCCATCATCTGCCATGGTAGGATTCAAACCCAGTTCCTCAAAACATTACCTGGGTCTCCAGATTAATAGTCTAGCAATAATACCACTATTCTTGTGAAATTAAAGAAACACAGTGCTGCTCAATTCACTGACAAGGCCCTCCACAGAGGTAGTACTGATCTTTAAATTAGTACAATAAATTAGGACCCATCAAGTACCAGGAACGAAGAGACCATAATGATAAATTTATATTTCAGTCTTCTTGCCTGATTGTTTTTGCAAATTATATAGAAATTAGTGTTCACACTTTGACCTTGCTGTTAGCCATTTCCACCGTAGATCAATTAGTTACTGAGAACATAAATGCCATGTCTAGGTTTAATAAGCTGAAGGTCTTATTCCTAGTTTCAGATTGTTTCATTAAATAGACATTTTATTTCCTGCATTCCAATTTTTTGATCTAGAGGAAGGTATCGTATTTTGTTCTGTACAATTGAAATAAAAGCTAGCATACTATTGTAATGGGGCTCAGAATCAAAATAATTTCACAACTACCCACAAAATGTAATATAATTCGAAACCGACTTACCTCCATCAGAAGCTCCACCATCTGCCACTTGTCCAGGGGATGATGGAGGAGGAAGAGGTGGAAAGATTTCATCTTCCGAGTGATCATAGTCAGGAATATCGGACAAACTATTTTGCAAAGTGTCACTCATCACAGCAGCTTGTCCTATTCACTTTACAAAATTAAATGAGAATGGTAAAACCATTGTATCATTGATGTCATTATTTAAAATGATATGATGGAGTTAGTTTCATTCCAATATTTGTTTGTATAATTTTATTATTTGGTGTTTGCCATCCAATAATGTTTGGACAAAAAGACAGTCAAATAAGGCTTCTCATTATTCTCTCCCCATGTTTCTATGCAGCATCCTCATTGACCAAGGGTTTCTAAACATAGCTTATGGCTTGATAGAAACAGGAGGTCAGATGAGGAAGCAGGTCCCAAGAATCACCTCAGCCTGTATGGGAACACCATAGCAAAGGTCATAGATCACAGAATCTCTACAATGTGGAAACAGGCCCTTCGGCCCAATAAGTCCACACCGACCCTCACAGCAACCCACCCAGACCCAGACCCAGACCCATTTCCCTATAACCCACCTAATCTACACATCCCTGTGTAGGTACAACACAGAAAGCAGCCATTTAGCCCATAATGTCTGCACTAGCTGAGTTAAATTGCTGCCCATTCTAATCCCAGTTACCAACATCTGGTCCATAGCCTTGCAGGTTCCAGCACTTCTCATGGAGATCCAAGTTCATTTTAATTGAGTTGAGAGTTTCCACTTCACCCACAAAACTGGGCAGTGAATTTGAAACACTCACCATTCCCTGTTCACTCTTTCGAAGCCCCTCATTATTTCGTACACCTCAGTTTTCTCTATTCTAAAGGAAAACAATCCTAACCCATTTAGTCTTCCCTCACAGCTGAATTTTTCAAGCCCTGGCAACATTCTTGTAAATCCCCACTGTACGGTCTCTACAGCAATAATCTCTTTCCTGTAATGTGGTGACCAGAACTGTACACAAACCTCCAGCTACTGCCTAACCACTGTCTTATATATTCATACTCCAGTATTCAATAATTTGGCCAATGAAGGAAAACATCCCATATACCTTCTTAACGATGTTATCTAAACGTCCTACCACCTTCAGGCACCTGTGGATATGCACTCCAAGGTCTCTCACTTTCTTTACCCCTCTCAAGACCCTCACTTAATCGTGTATTCCCTTGCTTTGTTTGCCCTCCTCAAATACATAACTGTGCGAGTCTCCAGATTGAATTCTATTTGCCACTTTTCCACCTACTCAACCAAACCACTGATACCATTGGTATCAATTACAGTACAAGTTTGTTCTAGTGCCAAATGCACTAGAACAACTAAATCCCTCTTCGCCTGGAATTGCCACAGTCGTTCTTCATGTAAGCTATACCTTGCTTTTTTCATTCTTCCTACCACAGTTAACAATTTTACATTTTCCCCACACTGAATTCTACATACTAGACGTGAGCTCATTCACTCGACCTATCAACAGCCTTCTGCAAACTCCTATGTCCTCTTTATCACCTGGTACAGGCACAATGGGCCAAGGGATGTTTTTTCTGCCTTGTAATGATTCTGTGACTACGCTTCGAAGAAAACTTATTTTATTGTGGAAGACTTTGCAACGTCCTGCAATCATGAAGATTGTTGCAGAAAACAAGTTTGTTTTTAAAGAAGCGATCAACCTCAACAGTGAAAATTTTGTTTACGGTCATTATAGAACATCCGCTACCACAAACTTTGTGTGCGCAGGCGCATCCACGGCGCGGCCGGGGCTCCTGCGCAGGCGCATCCACGGCGCGGCCCGGCCTACGCAGGCGCAAGCTGCCTAATATTCCTCCAGATCCAACCTCGTTAAAAGTTAGAGAAATCCTGGCTCCGAACCTGAGCAAACTTTAACTCCGGTTTTTGTGCAGTATGTTTCAATAAACGCATAATAAACTACTTTCCTAAGAACATGAAGGAAAATTGGTGTATAACGTTACTTTTAAACTCTGAAAACTCTATTACATCTACTGAAATGTCTGAAAGCGCCTTCTCTTCAAAATATAACTTACCGAATGACAATAAAATTAACAGGAATTTAATTTTGTTTCTGTTAAAAAGAAATGACTCCTTTTCCGCTGCAGGATCCAAAGCGCGCGCTCCGCTGTCCGGCCAATCAAAGGCTCAGGATAGCCCGTGTTCACCCACACGTATAGCCAATCAGAGCACAGCTTACACCCCGGCCAATCACCAACTGCCGGTGCTCGAACCAATCAGAGACGGGCCTAGGCGCTCCATAGGCTGAAATGTCAAAAGATTTCCTGAGATAACAAGGTGTAGAGCTGGATGAACACAATAGGCCAAGCAGCATCAGAGGAGCAGGAAAGATTTCATTTTTGTTTAGGAGTAGGGATGATGATAGGAAGGGAGGAATTGAGGGAAGGTGATAGGAGAGGATGAGGGGAGTTGGTGGGGAATTGGGGGGGAAGGTGATTGAGAAAAGGGAGGGGGGGTTCTTGAGGCGATTGGGTGTTGGGAGAGTGGGTTGTTAGGGACGGGGAATGGTTATGGGGTGTGTGGAAATTGGGGTGAGGGAAGGGATTTTGAGGTAGGCATCTGGGAATATGGGGATGGGAGCACCCATTAGCCATCTCTTTGAAGACTCTACAATGAAGTCCATCTGGACTTGGAGAAAACACAGTGTGGAGCTGGAGGAAAATAGCAGGCCAGGCAGCATCAGAGGAGCAGGAAAGTTGATGTTTCGGGTCCTGCCTCAAAACGTCAACTTTCCTGTTGCCTGGCCTGCTGTGTTCCTCCAGCTTCACACTGTGTTATTCCTGACTCCAGCCTCTGCAGTTCTTACTATCTCATCTGGACTTGGAGACTTGTTAGGCTGCAGTCAGTCAGTTTGCTTAGAACCAATTCCCTTATGGTTATGATTTAACTAATAGCACTGAAGACTTGTGCTCCAGAACTTGCTGCTCCGCGAGCCAAACTGTTCCAGTACAGTTACAATACTGGTATCTACCTGACAATGTCGAAAATTGCCCAAGTATGTCCTGTACACAAAAAGCAGGACAAATCCAACCTGGCCAATTACCGCGCCATCAGTCTTCTCTTGATTATCGGTAAAGTGATGGAAGGTGTCAGTAACAGTGCTATCAAGCATCACCTGCTCAGTGACGCCCAGTTTGGGTTCTGCCAGGGCCACTCAGCTCCTGACCTCATTACAGCCTTGGTTCAAACATGGACAAAAGAGCTGAATTCCAGAGGTGAGGTGAGAGTGACAGCCCTTGATATCAAGGTTGCATTCGACTGAGTGTGGCATCAAGGAGCCCTAGCAAAACTGGAATCAATAGGTATCAGGGGGCAAATGCTCCTGTGGTTGGAGTCATACCTGACACAGAGGAAGATGGTCGTGGGTGTGGGAGGTCAATCATCTCAGCTCCAGGACATTTCTGCAGGAGTTCCTCAGGGTAGTGTCCTAGGCCCAACCATCTTCAGCTGCTTTATCAATGACCTTCCCTCCATCATAAGGTCAGAAGTGGGGATGTTCGCTGATGATTGCACCATGTTCAGCACCATTCATGACTCCTCAGATAATGAAGCAGTCACATGTTCACATGAAACAAGATTTGGACAATATCCAGGCTTGGGCTGACAAGTGCAAGTGACATTCGTGCCGCACAAATGCCAGGCTACGACCACCACCAATAAGAGAGACTCTAATCATTGTCCCTTGACATTCAGTGGTATTACCATCACTGAATCCCCCATAATCAACATCCTAGGGGTTACCATTGACCAGAAACTCAACTGGACTCACCACATTAACAGAGTGGCTACAAGAGCAGGCCAGAAGCTAGGAAAACTGTGGCGAGTAACTCCCCTCCTGACTCCTCAAAGCCTATCCGCCATCTACAAGGCACAAGTCAGGAATGTGATGGAATACTCCCCACTTGCCTGGATGAGTGCAGCCCCAACAACACTCAAGAAGCTTGACACCATCCAGGAAAAAGCAGCAGGCTTGATTGGCACTACATCCACGAGCATTCACTCTCTCCACCACCATCGCTCAGTAGCAGCAATGTGTACTATCTACAAGATGCTCTGCAGAAATTCACCAAAGATCCTCAGACAGCACCTTCCAAACCCACAACCACTTCCATCTGGACGGACAAGGGCATCAGACATATAGGAACACCACCACCTCCAAGTTCCCCTCCAAGTCACTCACCATCCTGACTTGGAAACATATCGCTGTTCCTTCACTGTTGCTCCTGGAATTCCCTCCCTAATAGCATTGTGGGTCAACCCACAGCAGGAGGACTGCAGCAGTTCAAGAAGGCAGCTCACCACCACCTTCTCAAGGCAACTAGGGATGGGCAAGAAATGTTGGTCAGCCAGCGATGCCCACATCAAATGAATAGAAAAAAAGAGTTCGTCTCTGTCTGTCCCACCTTGTGCTTTACAGCTATTACTGTGTTTTTTGTATTCTCTATGATAAAGATAGAAGCAAAATATTTGTTCATTTCATCTGCCATTTCCTTATTGTTTAATATTAAATCCCTATCTTCACCCTCTAGAGGACCGGCATTAATTTCACGTACTGTTTTCCTTTTTAAAATACCTGTGGAAACTCTTGACAAAGGAAACCATTATAACTCCCTTTGTCATATCAAATTTGAAACATAAACTCTGTTTCTCTGTCCACAGATGTTTCCACACCTGCTGAGTTTCTCCAGCATTTTGTTTTTATTTGAATTCAAGTTTTTTTTTTCTTTTCGTTTCCCTTTCTTTGCTTCTTACAGTTATTTTCTTTCAGTCAGCAGCACATCTAAATATATCCTTTTATTTCTTTTTTTGTCCCATTTCAAGTCCCTTTATGCCTATAGAACTGCCATTCAGTCTTTCTTTTCAACTATCCCATCACAGTCCTTAACTATATCTTTTTGTCCCACCCGTCCCTTGCAGATCAGAAATAAATGCAGAATAGGCTGTTCCACCCCTCCAGCATGCTCTGCTATTCAACTAGATCATAGCTGATATACCTCAATGACATTGTCCCTCACCATTCATTCAAAACCTACAACATCTCTAATATTTCCCAGTTTGGATGAAAGATTGTTTACTGAAAAGGGAATGGAATATAAGCATAATGATGCTGTCATATTGTTGTACAGGACATTATGAGACCACATCTGGAGTACTGTATGCAATTTAGGTCTCTATACTTAAGAAAGAAAGTTGTTGGATTAGATGGTGTTCAGAGAAATTTCATTTGACTGGTACTTGTGATGAAGGGGTTATCTTACTGGGAATAGCAGGGCTTCATTTCCAGAGTACTACTTCAGTGAGTTGAGACAATGTAAATTAGGAGAGGATTTTTCCAAGAAAGTTATGAATCCTTAGAATCTTCACCCAAGAAGGTGGTGGAGGTAGGGTCATGAATTATTTTCAAGACAGAGATTGTTAGATTCTCGACTAATAAGTGGGTCAAAAATTATCAGTGGTAAGCAGGAATGTGGTGTAGAGGCCTCAACTAGGTCAGGCATAATTTTATTGAATGGCAGAGCAGGCTAGAGGCGTCAAATAATCTAATCCTGCTCCTAATTTGTATGTTTGAAAGGTCACAAATGTGAAACATCAATATTATTTCTGTCTCTACATAGATGCTGTTGACGTTGTAGACATGCTCACCGAGCCAGAAGGTTTGGTTGCAAACATTTCGTCACCCGCCTAGGTAACATCAACAGTTTGCCTCTGGTGAAGGGTCAGTGTTCTGTCCCACTTGTTATTTGTTGGGGTGTTTGGCACAAGTCTGGTTCTGTTTCTCAGTGGTTTGTACACAGGGTCTAATTCAATGTGTTTGTTGATGGAGTTCCTGTTAGAACACCAGGCCTCCAGGAATTCCCTGGCGTGTCTCTGTTTGACTTGTGTGATTATGGATGTCGAATTAGTGTCCCTCATTGTCCGTGTGTCGTGAGACGGTGAGAATTTGTTGTGTCTCTTGATGGCTAGTTGGTGTTCGTGTATCTGTATTGTCAGTTTTCTTCCGGTTTGGCCTATGTAGTGTTTCTCACAGTTCTTGCATGGTATTTTGTATATTATACCGGTTTTGCTGTTTGACCTGCTGAGCATTTTCTTCACTTGCTGTTTATTATATATTTCCAGTGTCCACTGCAATTTGCTTTTCATCTGTCCCAATCCTTCTATTTATTTCTCCCTCATGTTTACCCAGCTCATGTTTACCTGCATTTATACTATTCACCTCAGCCATTCTCTGTGTTAGTTATGCTGTCTGCTGTCTTACTCCTTCCCTATTGGTGGCGCTCATGTTTATGATTTATAGTTTTATATTCCTTTTAAACCCCCAAACTCTCAAATTATCTAAACCACCTCTACCAGCTCATCCCAATGTTTTCTTGCAGCTGACAGCAACTCCGCAGACCACACACACAAATTACCCCCTTTAAGTTACAATGCATGTGCAGCTATGCAACCAAATTTTAACAGGCCGTGCACTTGAAGAAACATCCACACTCTCAAAAATTAAAGCATTGGTCACGCCCAGCCTTACCTTTCCTAGAGAAATGAAAATGTTTTGAATTAGAACATTTGAGGCTCTGAACTCAATATCAGGACTTGGAATTGGCATCCAGGCTGATCTTTCAGAACAGTGCTGAAGGAGACTCATGCTAATGGAGGTACTGTCTTACAGTTGGGATTTTAAGAGTAGTTCCAGCTGGATGTAAATATCTAGTCTTACAGTTTGAAAAATGTGGTATGAATGATTTTAAATGTGGTACGAATGACTTTACTGTTGTGTATTTTACAGTGACAAAAACAGTAAAATACAGTGAAAAGATTTTCAACTGTTAGCACGATCATGTGCCATTTTGAATAGTTTTAAGAATAAGAAAAAAAATGTAGCTTAAAGAGAGTCCATCAGTCCTGATTCAGGTCATCACCAAAGATGGCGCTGCCATCCCTCCTCCACCACCTCGCCACTGTCTACACTGGACCCAACCAACACTGAAGTCACAACTCTTCAGGCACCATCTTTCGCCCCAGGCTAATTCTCCTCCACCACCACTTCATCATCGCCTGCAATGGAACCACCAATGTCAGAGTTGCAACTCCCGCAGTTTGACCCACATCATCGATGTGGGACCTTGCTGTGTGC